TTCCTTGCGTAGGTCCTCAACCACCTACTCTTTGTCTTTAAGTAATTAACAATTCTTAATCCATTTGAATTCGGACATAAAAAAGGATTAAACAATGACTGCATTAGCTATCATGCACCCGTCCTGCCTAATTCAAATTGTTAAATGCAAATTGCAATATATAAGTCATGTATGTGTGAATGGGATTAATATTTCCTCAATTATTATTATATATAAGTCAACATTACAGTCGATCATCGCCTTCTGGCTAATAGCTTGAGAAACACAGATACTGTGCCTGTGCGTCTTCTTCGAGTGTTTACTTGTTGCGTACGTACTGAAGGAAAGATGGCAGTAGAATCACTACTCACTTTTGCTGCTGAAGGAATACTGAAGAAGGTAGCTTTGCTTGCCGCTCAAGAATTCATGCTGGCATGGGGATTTAAAGGAGAGCTAAAAAAGCTCGGTCAATCGCTATCTGTCCTTCAAGATTTCTTAGGTGGTGCGGCTGAGCAAGCACGAGATCGGGGCAAGGCAGTGGAAGATTGGGTGGAGAAACTTAAAGACATAGCTCATGATGCTGATAACGTCTTGGATGAAATCAACTATGAAATTCTCCGGAGTCAAGTGGAACTGCAAAACCATATGAAGAAAAAGGTACTCAACTTCCTTTCTTCCTCAAATGCCACTTTGTTTCGCCAAAAAATGGCCCATAAAATTAAAAAAATCAATGCATCTCTGGCGGATCTCAAGAGCGAGGCATCGTTCATTGGATTGGTTGCAAAGAAAATTGATCCAGTTGCCCAAGGCATGGGGAGCAGGGAAACTGTCTCAAGCTTTGATGACGATGAAAGTATCTTTGGAAGGGAGGAGGTTGTGTCAGATATAGTAAAGACCTTGATCAGCTCCAATAATCAACAAAAGCTTTCGGTTGCGGCAATTGTGGGAATGGCAGGCTTAGGAAAGACAACTTTGGCTAAGTCAGTGTACAACGACGATGCTATAGACAAGTCATTTGACAAAAGAATATGGGTTTGTGTCTCTAACACCTTTGAAGTGAATTTGATTTTAGGCCGGATCTTAGAACTACTTAATTCAGCAAAGACCGGAATTCAAAGTCAGGAGGCATTGCTTAAAAACCTCAAAGAAGAGTTGACAGGAAAGCGATATATGCTTATACTCGATGATGTTTGGAACGAAGATGATATAAAATGGAACATCTTGATGAGTTGCTTGTCGAAACTCAATTCTGCTCAGGGAAGCACCATAATTGTCACTACCCGCAGTGCCAACGTTGCATCAATCATAGAAACACTTCCTAGATATGATTTGAAAAATCTATCAACAGAGGACTGTTGGTCCATCTTGAAGCATAGAGCTTTTCCGAATGGTAGTACTCCAATAGCTCCAGATCTGGAGAGAATTGGAAAAGTGATTGCTGAAAAATGTGCTGGCATACCATTAGTGGCAAAGGTATGCATTTCAATATGATAGTAGCTCTTGTTTTCTTTGCATTTTTTTGACCGCGGATAGAGGAAAAGCTTTTGGGGTTCTTATTTTTAACTTGTTTTGAATTAATTAATGTTATTTTTTATTTTTTAAATTAGAATAAAATAATTTTAAAATTTAAATTAAAATTAAATTTTTTTTTTCCACATTGTGCAAATTGCTAATCCATAATATAAAAATAAAATAAAATTTGAGGCTCGCATTTGTCATATCATCAATTGACGGTGAAATTAACGAATTATGAAAACGAAGAGGGATACTATAATACTGATTGAAAAAATACGCTTGGATCTGATGTACTTTTTAACGGTATCAAATCACCAAAATCTACAAACTTGGAAGGTTGAAGTACATAACCATACATAATTTGTTAAACATCTATACAAGTGATCAAACGAAAGTTGAACTACTCATTGCATATATATTTTTTAAACATTACTAATTAACCTTTTTAATATTTAAGATGTATATATAATGTCTAACTTATTATATAAACAGGTTTTGGGAGGCATGATGCATTCTAAAAACAGTACAGATGAATGGTTGTCAATTCAAGAAAGTAAAATATGGGAATTACCACAAGGAGAGGATAGAATTATCTCAGCTTTGAAGTTGAGTTTTGATGCTTTGAAATCCCCATCTCTGAAACAATGTTTTGCATATTGCTCAATATTCATGAAAGATGTGGAAATTGAAAGGGATGACTTGATCCAACTTTGGATGGCTCAAGGATTGCTCCACTCTTCAAGTTCTTTAGAGATGGAGGACATAGGTAATGAATATTTTTATATTCTATTGGAGAACTCCTTTTTTCAAGATGTTGTAAAGGATGACTGGGGCATTATTACCAAATGCAAGATGCATGATCTTGTGCATGATCTTTCTGAACTAGTGTCAAGATATGATGAGGAAGATAAGCTTGACGTTGGACAGGCACAATTTCCTTCTTTAATACCGAAAAAAATTTCAGAAAGAAATGCTGGGAAATTGCGATCCTTGTTTGTGAATGGTGAAGCCCTTGGTAACATCTTGGCAAGCTTTAAGTCTTTACGTGTCTTGAAACTATACAGGTCTGATATTGAGGGGTTGCCTATTTCAATTGGTGAGCTAAAACACTTGAGATATCTAGACGTTTCTGAAACACACATCAAAGAGCTCCCCAAATCTATTGGTAGGCTCTACAACCTACAGACACTAAGAATGCCTAGTTCAAGCAGTCTTCAAACGTTTCCGAAGGAGCTACAAAATTTGATCAACTTGAGGCATGTTTATTTCAATGAGTATATAGAAGTTCCATTTGGGATAAGAAGATTGACCCATCTGCAAACACTACCTTCCTTTACTCTGGATGGGACAAGAAGTCATGGAATTGACGAGCTGGGTGGCTTGAACAAATTGAAAGGCGAGCTGATTATTAGATCTTTGGAATATGTGAGGGGCAAAGACGAAGCGAAAGAATCAAATTTAGCTGGGAAGACAAACATACAAAGCTTGAGACTTGAATGGGGCAATTCCAGGGAAAGAAATGATGATGACAAGGAAGTACTAGACGGCCTCGAACCACACCCTAAGTTAGAAAGCTTATATATCAGCAGTTTCTTGGGTTCTAAATTTGCGTCATGGATGATGAGTGGATTGCCAGGAAATTTGAAAAAGATTGTTCTGTCCAATTGCAGAGAATGTGAAGTAGTCCCAACACTTGGCCATTTACCAAATCTTAGACATGTTGACTTTTACTTTATGGATAAGCTTAAATGTCTAGGAGATGAGTTTTATGGTTATAAC